GCATACGTACAATTTTGTATTTTTATTGAATCTATTATTCCGAAATTTCAAACTTAATCGAATCGGCTGGAGTACCAGTCGGTCAATTTTTATCAGGTGTTCCAGAAATTATGAAAATAGCGATCTGCTGGTTCTGAGATTATCGGATGCCACGGAAATTTTACATGTTGAGGTGTCCGGGCCACCTTACAAACCTGAAAAGAAACATACAGTCGGAGATGCCAAAAAATTACTCATGATGGCCGTTTGCAACTTGTGTAGGATACTGGCGAACAATTTCGATTGCCCAATCGATGATGCAAAGAAAGTCAAATCTTATAGCATCCAAGCAATTGGACTTGTTGAAAAAAAAAAAGTATTTAGCCCTAGAATTAGCTTCATGTATAATTCCTTTTTCTTTTGAAGCCATCATGTGTTATTCAAAAATCTTTAATTTTTTTGCGGTTATAAGAAACGAATTCATAGAACGAGAAAAGATTCAGAAAAAAATTCGATGTTTTATTCCTTCAGTTGAAGATGATACAGGTGATTTACGAGAATGGATAAATTTACCTGATGAAGTAACAGAAGATGATATGGATGAACTCCTTTTATATGATGTTCAATAAAATTAATTAGATAGAGAACATATACTTAATAAAATAACTTTCTTTACATGTAAAAAACTTATTTTCTTTGCGTGGTGCGAGTCGTTAAATCTGATCTCGGTACATGAAACCATATTTTGATCTCATCAACCGGTGTGCAAATCACATGTTGCATTTTACAGTGTGATTCTGATCGTCACGGTTTTTATAAATAACATTTGAATAATTCGCATTTGTATAAAAGTTATCATTAAAACATGCAATCCGAAATCGACTTATCAAAACAAGAGATGCCAGACTTGTAGCTAGAATCGCAGAATTGGAACAAATTGCGAAAGAAAAAAATAAGCTTGAGCTTAGGATTGTGAAATTAGAACAGACCACTTTTAGCAACCGGGCTCCATTTGTATATCTTACACGCCTGTTTCCCATAATAAGTCTTCAAAGTTGAACGGGTCGGGCCTTTATGGGAAGCAGGCATGTAAGAAATACAAATGGAGCCCGGTTGCTAAAAGTGTGTTTATCACATACGCTAATTTCGGCTTAGGTACCAATTGTGGAACACTATTTTTACAGCCTTTAAAAATTCCGACTTTTTTTTCCGCACCCTACCTAAACCATTACACACGATTCGACTTCGTATATACAATCAATAAACTCAAATACGCTTTAACAAGCGAAATAATATCTTAAATATAAGTCTATCTCTCACACGAACAACTCTTGAAATCTCAAAAAAAATGGCAGCTATTTTGTTAGTAACTGGTTTGTTTTAGTGCATTTTTAAGATTTCTTTTTTTTTTACCTCTTCCAGAATATCATGTCTCTAACTTCTCTGAATATGAGATTATAAAAGATTGATTTTAAAGTTAACTTTCTACACTCTTCTGAAGCTAAAAATGATATTTTTGACGATTTGTTGCTTGTGTAATTTTACGAAAAAAGTACTTTAAAGTGTATAAATAAGTTACCCGGGCAATTGCAAAAATGGGGGATCCTTAAAAGCGGGGCAGATCACGTATTATGCCGTTTTTCATTAACATTATGGTTAGGGACTTTGGAGATGTTTAGATAAGCAAAGTTACCTTCCCGATATTTTTTTGTTAACGTTAATGCACTAAGATGGGTTTAGGCTACTGTTTTTGATGTTTTTCTTCTTTGGGTTTATTAAATTTTGATGATCCGATTGGCTGATTATTATGTAATCTGCCCCGCTTTAAGCCCAATGTAGATAGCCCTTTTTATGGTATAGAAATGTAGATCGAGCGATTCTTTTTTTTTTTGAATCTCGATAGGATCAATATTTATTATAAAACAATATTCAACCTTATATTTATAAAATTATTTGTTATAAAAAGTTACAAAATATAGTATAGTTGAATTTAGCAAAAAGCAGTAAATTAAATTAATTTTATTGTTGAAAAATATCTAAAGCAAGCATATTTTTATAATATATATATTTTTTAAATTAACTTAGATTAAATTTTAAATTTTGATATTTTTAATTATATAATTTATTTGAGATAGGTTTAAACTATTATTTTTTATATATTTTATATATTTTTTATTTTTTGTTTGCTTTTGCTTTAATATATATACATGAATAATGATTATAGATTTTCTTATTATGAAAGAAAATTTCTATACACCCCACTATATTGTTTTTCCGGCCATTCACTGTGTCGTTTTTGATCTATCAAAAAAATCAATAGTATGTTGATACAGATTGCAATAATCATGCATCAAGGACGACTCTTTGAATGGCCGGAAAAACAATATAGTGGTTTAAGCCCTGGCATACACTACATACACTAGCGCTAGTGTATGTACAGTACAGTACACTATATAGCGATAGTATAATTTGTAAATCAGTGTAACACAAATTTAAAGAAAATTTGATTAAAGTTGGACTAAGGTGATTTGGGTCAGGGTGTAGTTTAGATTAAAATTTTCACGGAAATTTTTTTCGAATAGAAATTGCCATTATGAGAAAATATGAAAATGTGCACATTTGAACAAAGATAACAAGAATAAACGACATAATGATGGATAAGTAGAAGTAAAGAGAGACTAAAGGAATCTAATTTATTAAGGGAGCTACAGAGAATAGCGATAAAAGTTTCGTGAAAATGAAAGTGTCGGGAATGAAAGTCGGGGGAAATGAAATGTCGGGGAAATAATATCAGTCGGAAAAATGTTAAATTGGGAAAGTGATTATCGGGAAAAGGTTTTCATAAAATTGATTGTCAGTAAAATAAATAATGATATATTTACTTATACTGCAGTTCACCCGGCCGTACTCATCTTTTAACGCTATATTATATTTGGCTTTAAATTATGCTGAGGAATGACTTGATATGAGTCATGAACTCTGGATGTGTAACGAATAACTTAGTAAGCCACAAAAATTCAGCGGTGTTAGGGATATATATAGTTAAGATTACATAATTAATTAGAACAAGAATGCCAAAAGCCCAGTTTCATGGTTTCATGGTTAAATTTTTTAAGTTACACTTGGCCTTAAATTTGATTGAATGATCTGTTAGCGCTAGCGCTAGGACTGCAGCTCTACTCCATACCGATACGTCTTCAAGTTTTATATTCAAGAAAATGCTCAACATCTTTGGATATGGTCGAAAGTTTACGCTACGTAAGTACGTAGTAAAAACCTCTTGGCTAAATAAGGATTTTCTATTATTATACCAATTATATCATTAATGATGATACGGTACATATATATAGTGGTTCATTATATACTATATAAATTAATTGTCCAACCGGACCAATTAACCAATAACAATTCAGAAACCGTTTTCTTTAAAGACCAATATTAGCGATGGTAGTTTTTTTCCTAAAATCGTTACTTTTAAAATTAAACATCTTTCATACTTTCTTTAATAACAAGCAAGCATTATGAGTACTGCCATAGCTTTACAACAGCAATTGGAAGATCCTACCTCGGGCCATGTAAATACTCTCACTAAAGAACAGGCCTCTTTATTACGTGAATTTTGGGCTGTTACGTTTATCATGCAGGAGGTTACTCCCATAGATACCTCTGATATAAACCAAATTACTGCTAAGGACTTGCCAAATATTAAGGCTAATGGTCGTCTTGGCAGAAAGAATAAGGGTCAAAATGTTAATGTTATTGAAACTTTTACTAAATATAGTAAGATGGCGCGCAAAATGAGGGAGGATAAAGGAGCGAGTAATGCTTCTCGTACAACTAGTAATGGTTCAAGCAGTGCAAGTGATAAATATAACGAATCATCAGAGTTTTTATCTGCTCTTGTGTTATACACGCCTGAAGAGTTACATCGTGCTGCATGGAAAATAATTGCAGCGGATGATCCAGATGTAATACTTCTTCGCTTCCTTCGGGCAAGGAAATGGGACGTTGAAAAAGCTATGGTAATGTACATGGCTACATTAAAATGGATGCTACAGGCTAAAGTCCGAGACATCGTCGAAGGTGGTGAACAAGGATTGGAAAAATATTTTACAGGTAAAGATCTTGAAGGATTGAAATATCAATTTACAAGTGGCAAAAGTTTTAATCGAGGAACTGATAAAGACGGGAGGCCTGTATGGTAAGACCTCGACAAAATTTTTATCAGAAATATTTAGAATTATGTAAACTTTTTGAAAACTCATTGAATTTTAACTTAATCTAATAACGCGATATAGTTATGTGAATGTTCGATATCATAAGAAAGACGATCAGACTTTTGAAGTTCTTCAGAAATACACTATTTACATCATGGAAACAACTCGTTTGATGATGGAAGCTCCAGTGGAAACTGGGTGCCTCGTCTTTAATATGACTGGATTTACTCTATCTAACATGGTAAGAATTAAGATTATTTCGGCAATGGCCTTTGCAATACAACAATTGTTAATAAATTTGACATTCATTGATAGGATTTCCAATATGTTAAGTTCATAATTCAATGTTTTGAAGCATATTATCCAGAAAGCTTGGGAGTTTTGATAATCCACAAAGCCCCCTGGGTGTTCGGAGGGTTGTGGAAATTGATATCGCCTCTTTTAGATCCTGTTGTGGCGTCAAAAATTCGCTTTACACAAAGCGAAAAAGAGATCTTACAATTAGTCCCACCTAAACATTTAATTACCGATTTGGGTGGTGAGGATAAGTGGGAATATAAATATTTACCTCCAAGTGAAAACGAGAATTATAGGATGAAGGATGAAGTGACAAAAAAGCAGAAGCTAGAAAAGAGACATTCTTTGGAGGATGAATTTGAAAAACTTACTAAACGATGGCTAGAAGAACCAGACAATGAACAGATAAAAAATGAAAGAAATCAAGTGAAAATTCAACTGCGACAAGCTCAACTGGAGTTAGATCCACATATTAGAGCCAGAACTTATTATGATCGTATTGGAGTGCTTCGTGAAGATGGAACATGTGATTGGGGATATTGAAAGCAAGTTTTAGAATAACTAATCACATGTAGTATTATTTATATTCGATTTTTTCTTTTATTATCATTGATTTTATGTATTGTTTTATTACAATTTATTATAGATGTGACAATTCATAGATTTTGAATAATGATTTCAATGATTGAATAAGTTATTCGATATTAATGTAATTACAAAACCAAACATCAAATATAAATATATATAAATCAACTATTATAATATATATTCGCTTAGGTTAACACGTTTTGAATTGACATCGCAATATTTATTACAGTCAACTCTCTACTCCGAACAGTCCGTTATATGTAAAAATAACAAAAAGTTCAGTTCTCAAAGAGTTACTATGTTGCTAACCCGAACTTTATGATAAAATTTACAAATGTTCTAAAGTTTTGTGGTCGGTTTTTACAGTTTATTAAGGGTTCGGATTATCCAGGTCCGGATTTGAAAGAGTTGACTATAGCTATCATTTCGTTCAATATATCTTTTTGAATGTACATTGGTAAAAAAATTTAACGTTTTGTGTAAATACCCCAAACTTGAATAATTTTTTTTATTGTGATTTTGTAATTCCTTTTGTAATAGTCAAAAGGAAAGAAACATCTACAACACTTGCAAACTACCGCAAGGATCAATATCGACATTATC